AAAAGGTACTTGTCAACAAATTCAAACTGGGTCCCACTTTATATTAGGTGACTTTAAAAGGCACCTATAGTAAAAAAAACTACTTTTCAAGCTGTTTGGACAGACATGCGTGTAGGTATAGTGTATAGACCGTCATATTGGGATGATATAAACACACTTTTTTATTTTTTTTATTTAACAACATAAAAATGGTGGAGCAATCGGATCGATTTTGAGACCGACCGCAACTTGACGTAGGAGTATGGTCCCCTGCCTACCAATATTGATTGAAATGCTTGCAATACCATATCCTCAGTTTGTTGTTTCAAGTCCGCCATTTTCAGCGTGAGTCAAAGCGATGTCACCAAAGGAAAACCCTTGCTTTATTCTTGGATGTAAGGCTCATTGGGCTCAACACGAGCCTTCATCGTCTTCCTGCGAATGGCCACTAAGATTTTACATTTAGCGGCCATTTGCACTGAACACGCAGTGAATGCAACGTATCGAGATTCGGGCCACCAACAACAGCTGATCCAGCAAGTCTTTAAGCATTCTCTCTGGAAACACTTGATTGATCTCAGCTGGCAGATCAACATTCACCACATGATCACTCTCATCGGCACCATTGTTTGTAACTTCAGGTGGGTTTGCAAACGTGTACTTTTCATTGCGTCTTCCTTAAACTTCAGCCGTTTGCATTTCCCGCGGTCACAGAAGCTCCCTGTGCTCTTAACTAGGTGCGGCTGTTTGTTCCGTGCAGAAACACAGTGTTGAGAAGCCTTTATGATTAATTAACCATAATGAATTATAGCAAGGTTAATAGTGACGGTAACAGAGTACATTTGCCAGAGTAACGTAGTTTGAAGTATCGCAAATTTGATTTATGAAACTGAATCCACCATTAATAAACCTGACTTACCAAAATAAGCCTGGCTTTTTTCTCTAAGCTTGGTTTATGGAATAGCCCCCAGAGCATTAAAAAACAAACATCTATAGCTGCATCACCCTGGATTCAAACCAATTATCTCCGCATGCTTGTTAGGAACCGTCACCGCTTCACTCAATCACTTGAAACCTCACAAAATTTACCGCAATACATTAAAATTTACCACTAGGTGTAGAGACGGGTTTTGAAATGTTTCAAAGCTTCGACTGTTTCAGTGATGAAGCCTTGCTTTGCCCACCACTATTCACATGTACTTTAATCAGAAATTTTGAAAAATAAAAATTGTTTGGGTATTTTTTTTTAATGGTTTTCCAACATTCTTCAAAATATGTGTTCAACAGAAATGAGACACTCAAAAGTGTTAGGATTCATTTTTTGTGCGTGAGGAAAATATTCATTTTTGGGAGAACTGTTAAACTTCCAGGAATTTGAAGGTAATCTCTGCTTGTGTTTCAGTGTCTGTAGATGGGATGGAGTGGAATGATGTGAAGTTCTTCCAGCTGGCGTCTCAGTGGCCCACTCATGTCAAGTACATCCCTGTGGGGCTGTTCGGCTACAACAAACCGCCCTCCTAGTGACTTCTTACTTGGCAGAAACATGGTTACATCTCCAGACCCTGCTTTTGTTATGGTCTTCAGATTGAATAGAGGACCAGTTTTTGCTCGCGAGGCAGTCGTGATCACAGGATCACAGCTCGAGCCAAGTGGAAGATTTCAAAATTCTCCACAGTGGGATCTTGTTTTGGTTTTCAAAGGGCCAGAGCAGACAAAACATCCAAGGATGAGAGTATTATTTATGATTCCTTTTCTATAAGTGTTTGGTGGGATTCATGATGCAATAATAGTCCAATATTGTATTGTTATATTTATGGTACTTGATATTAGTGATTTAAAGTTTTCAGATTCATCGTGTGTCACTTTATTTGTACAAATGTAATGTATTCGTATTATTTCACCAACTGAATCTGACATCCAAAGCTTCTCAAAGACACTTTGTAAAGCAAATAAAAAGCCTTTAAAATACTTTAAATATAAATAATATTTTGTTGTCTGTGTGAAATATTCTGTTGTTCTCCTCTTTAGAAATGTAGATTTGCTTATGTGATATATGTATAAGCATGTGATCATATGTGCTTAAATCAGGGTTTGTCTAAGCTGCTATGGACATTGAATCCATTCCACTGTGGTTTCAGAAGCTTGTTGTCGTTTATTTATTAATCTGCCATTACTAAAGGTGTTCACCACCTTCTCAATGCCTTCCATAACAAATATGATTACGTGAGATGACTAATAGTTATGAAAAAATTATACTAAAGTTTATTTTGTACCTTCCAAGTGACCTCAGACCATGTTCAGAAATTGTTTACCATTATTGCCTTTCAAATTGTACACAACCCTAATTTGTTCGCATGATGCAGTGTATTGATCAGTATGATTGCAGTACATCTGTGCTTATTTTAATAACGTTATGTGAAAAATCAGTATTCCTTTTGTCTCTCTAAAGCTCTTGTATTTTGACATCAGATGTGCAGAAATAATAAATATTGTAATTGCAACTGTTTTTGTTTCATGTCTCATGAGATAAAATGAATAGCAAATGTTTTCAATAGAAAAAAAAAATTAGGTGTCATTGATAAGACTTAAGTAACAACTAATTGGGTGCCTCATATTCATGTGCTTTGTATTGTAACGAAAACACTCTAAAAAGTCAATCTTGAAGCGGTTATTAAATAGTTATATTACAATTGAAAGAACAAGCACAGCGTTTGTCTTTGTAAACAGATGCATGTTGTATTTGTTCAATCTATGACAGAGTTCTGAGACACTGGTAAATAAGCAAGGGCTTAGGTGTACAGTGTGAAACCATATATATTGAAAACTCAGGGTTAATTGAAATCTCTGGTTAAACAAAAGAAGAATTCAATTCATCTGAGGTCGGTTGCACACGTCCAGTTTAAGTTTGAACCCAGGTAAGTTCAAGTTTAGTTTGAGTCAGGCTCAACCTTTGCAATGACCCGATCTAATCCTGTATATGAAATAAGCCTGCTCCTAAGCAGTCCTGTTGCTATGACATCAACTCTCGAATGAGTTTTTGAAGAACGAGATGATTCTTGACTGTATCAAATAGTCACTTACCAAATTCAGCAAACTGAGTAACCCAAATACAAGCAACGAAGCCCAAAGTCAGGTTTTGTTATCTTGTTAAATGATGCTATATATCTAACCATCACTGAAGCAGATTTTATTCTGGGTTAGAGATGGCAGATCCAAATTGAACCAATCAGCTGTGAGAAAAGTGCCATATATTTTTATTGCATAAAAGCCACTCGCTGTCCTCATCAGGCATCTTTTTTGCTCCAAATGAAACATTTTATACCAAGTCAAAAATGTCTTTTGCTGCTAACAATTTATGTGAATTTTAATTATTTATACGTTATTCAATATTTCTGAAATGTTAATTAATATTAATAATATATGTATATTAAAATGTACATATTAAAATAAAAAATTGCTTTAACAGTTAACATTTTAAAAGTACTGTCTAAGCTATTTGTGAACCTACATTATTTAAATCAACTGATTCATTTGCATTGATATTGTAATATTTACTTTCAGCTGTCTTCTTAAATTTCCACTGCATCAACATTAGTCTCTGGGATAAACCCTAAGTTAACAAAGAAAGCTTAAATCCAGTGTTGTGAAACCACTTAACTTGAACCTGTTTGGATTCATTTTGTTTTGTCAAACCGAAACTTACTCTGCCACTCGGAGTTTGTTCAACTTGTTTTGTGCAACAGGGTACAAAGACTGACAGTAAACTAGTTCAAGTGGGAAAAGCCTTATATTTTACCCAGGGTTATTGTAATTTTAGGTTAATTAAATATTACATGCCTTAACTTGGGTTTTACATAGCTCTCTAAATACAAAGGTTCAAACTATTTTTGATATAAGCAGTTTAGGATTAATTCACAAAAAGTATGTTTCTCAAATAGTCTTCGATATTTTTCGATTTGTTTAACAGCAGCAGTATAATAGGCAGTGGTGTCAGAATGAGGAATTCTATCCTATGTTATGAGTATCATGTGCACATGTGTGAAAAATCCCACGAGGTATAAACTTTTAGATGTTTAAAGAACTTTATGGGAAACAAAGACTTTGCAACCCATGTTTCAAGACATTTGGACTAATGGTTGAATAAGTTACAGCAGTTTTAATGTTTTTGTTTTTGTTGTTTGTAATACCATGTGGCCAAACTGTGACCTAAGATTGAGATCATATAAACAGTATATAATCAAAGTTTGGTTGCATCGCATTCTGCTGAAGAGTTATGGCCATTTTTATAAAAATGTCCATGCCCAGTTTCCCATCAAAAATATGACTTGAAATTCACATAAAAAGTCTGATATTTAAACTCCAGAGAATCTTTCTACACTGCTTTGACTCCAATCTAGGGGAAAATTATAGCTTGGTCTGCCTGATCAGTTTCAGGGCAGCATGTTTAAAATAAGAAAACCATAACAGTTACAATTGGGATATACGTGTCTAAATCCTTCAACGTTTCCAGCCTCAAACTTTTGAGTATTAGTGTTTATAGCTGACTTTATTTATATATTAAACTTTGTATTTCAGAAGTGGGCTCCCCTTGAAAGGCTTCATCACATTTGTGGGTCTGTAGCCTAAAATTTTAAAAGCCACAGCCAAAAAAAAAAAAAAAAAATGGCATACTGTATGCTGATAAGGTAGGTTTTGACATGTTTGCTGGTTTAAGCTGGTTATGAGCTAGTTGAATCTTTGCTGGTCATGACTGCTTGTTGGTTCTTTCAGGGTCCTGACCAGCAAGGACAACTACCATGTGTCAACACTCACCTTACCAGCATAAGCTTTTATTCTAAAGTTTCTTATTCCGTGTTACAAGTACAGCCGATCTGCTCACTGTTTAGTTATGTACAGATAGAGAGAGAGAGAGAGAGAGAGAGAGAGAGAGAGAGAGAGAGAGAGAGAGAGAGAGAGAGAGAGAGAGAGAAAGAGAACTGCCCCTCTCCACTGCCCAATAACCCAGTTCTACCCATTCAGTCAGTGGCAGTGGGCTCTAAAGGGGGAAACACACTGACCTGTATGGAGGAGAGCACACACACATCTTCTCAGTGATGGGCTGTACAGGAAGGAGAATCCTTTGGCTGGCCTGCTTGGTGTCTATGTTTCTTCAATATGGTAGGTATCATCTTCATTCTTGATGTAAGCCTGTTAAATATAAGAAAACATCATGTAGAACATTTACCCTGCTTGAGATAGCTATTGCTTAGAACAGTGTTTCCTAACCTTGTTCATGCAGGCACACCTACAGTGCACATTTTCAACCACTTCCTAATCAAACACACTAATATCAACTCATCAGAACATTAGAAGAGACTCCAAAACCTGAAGTTAATTGATCAGATGAGGGGGACATCCAAAATATGTACTACTCCAGGAATAGGGTTGGGAAACACTGGCTTAGAAAATAATTGAATGAGTGTCACACATTTCACCTGGGCTAACATACTGTAACACCATTAACAAGCATCTCACTGTTTTTCATAATACAATTTCTTGGAAATTGGCCTTTAGCTATGAATTCCATGAATGGCGTATAATAAAACCAAAGCACAACAATGGATTTTTGAAACAGTGTTTTATAACTAACGCTACAATAATTGAAATTGTTGTAATTTAGGTCATTTTTTTAGAAGTCGAATTGAACCCCATTGTTCTCTCTGTTGGTGTATTTGTCCTTGCCAAGGCTGTCAGCTGTAATTAAGGCTTTATAGTCACTGTGCTTTCCCGTACACGCATACAAAGGCCTGGGGGTGGCAGTGCATTGGGGGTGGGACTCATCATTACCGTAATGAGACAGCCATTGAGATGGAAGGAGAGAGAAGTCGAGAGCTACACAACAGAACTGCAAAATAAATGGCTCTGCTAGGGATTCATGATTTCCAGTTGTTTGACAAACAGGCCCAAAGTAAGCATGTGCATTAAAATGATTTCCCTACACAGATGCGGTCCGAGTGACTGTGAGGGAGTCCAGTCTGGAGGTTGTTCAGGGAGATTCTGTCACCCTGCCCTGTTCGTTTTTCACCATGATGCCCTTGTTCAGACTGAGTATTATCTGGACCCTGACCCCCCTCTCTGACCCAAACTCTCCCATACAGGTACGTTGACAGAAATCACACACCAATATGTTTGGTTTAGTCAAAGTAACATATAGTCAAGCAGGGGCAGACTGATTTGGGCGCCTTAAGCAATTCAAAGTATCGAGCCCAAGCACTAAAAGTCATAACACCCTCTTTGTAGTTTTTTTTCTTTGTAAATTCAGGCTGTTTTTTTTGGTAAATAAATTAAGTGGAACATTTATCTTCTCAGGGCAACGCAATGGCGCAATAGGTAGTGCTGTTGCCTCACAGCAAGAAGGTCACTGGTTTGAGCCTCAGCTGGGTCAGTTGGCATTTCTGTGTGGAGTTTCCATGTTCTCCCTGCGTTCGCGTGGGTTTCCTCTGGGTGCTCAGGTTTCCCCCACAGTCCAAAGACATGTGGTACAGGTGACATGGGTAGGCTAAATTGTCCATAGTGTATGTGTGTGAATGAGCGTGTGCGGATGTTTCCCAGAGATGGGTTGCGGCTGGAAGGGCATCTGCTGCATAAAACTGTGCTGGATAAGTTGGCGGTTCATTCCGCTGTGGAAACCCAGGATTAATAAAGGGACTAAGCCGACAAGAAAATGAATGAATGAATTAATCTTCTCAGTGTAAAATTAAATACAATAAATTCACATTTAAAAAAACAAGTTGACAAACTAACAATATACAGTTAATTGGCCATATTTGTGGTTAGATTTAATATTTGCATGTGTAGTACAGAAAGAACGTTCCACCATTCATGTTTGGAAAAGGAGTAATAACATTAAAATATGGTTATTGACAGATTTTACAGCATATGATAGAAATTAAAAAAGGGGCTAAATGATAATTATAGGATTCTTAGCATTGGTCTGGGTTCTCTTATTCCCCAGGTCCCTAAGCGGTTGCTTACCTCGCTTATTGGTTAAGTCAACCCCTGGGGTATGCTCTTCGTACCTCGCTTAAATGATCTAAGATGATTTTGCCGATCCTGGATCTTTTAATCTTGATAACTGATCTCTCGCTAATTTGGTTCTTCAAACAAGTTCGCGAATCAGATTAGAATGTCTGGATGAACTGATCTGAGATCGATGTGTGTGTTGTGAAGGACAGATCTATCGATCTTCGAAATCATGATCAGCAATGCAACGATTAGCTGACGGCACAGCAGCGTAAAGACATCATCTGATTAATATTCAATTATCCATGTGAGCAAAATTACATCAAATTAGCAGTAAACGGTTTGTTATATATGACACGCAATAACTTTCCACATTTGTTGTGAGCTGCAGGCTTTACACTTTCATGTGTCAAGAGTATTTATCATGTATTTCAATGCATATCAATGTATTTAGTTCTACATTTAGAAAATATTTTCTTTATTATAGTAGCCGTTTTTTTAATCGCTGTATGGAATAACTGGATGTCTACAAAAGCATTTTGATATTTGTAAAGGTGTCTGCAACTTTTGTGAAGCATCAAATCACTGGCATATTAACTGTCAAAACCAAAACATGTTCAGTACTGCATTAATGTATTATTTCTTATTTTTTTTAAAGTCACATATTCTGCATTTCTATTATCATACACAAATTGTACTAAAGCGATCTAAAAAGTTTGTATCAATAAATTTTCTCTTTGTACTTTCATTCCGAGGGTGCAGATTGCATAAGTTTTGTTAATATAACTTTATTTAATTAATAAGTATAACTTTATATATATAGTTAATTTTTTTTTTTTTACTATTTTCCCAAGTGTATATAACTACTACTGTAAGAAAATATCATAATTCGGTACTTTCTCTATTATCTTTGCTTGAACTGAGCCGATCTAATCCGGTTTATATGAATTGAACCTGCTTCCAATCAGGTTTGAGCTAGCAGAACTATTGCTATGACAACAACTCTCAGATCAGCTTTGAAGAACGAAACGATCCTGGATTATGTCAAATCGTCAATCTCCAAATCCAGCTAACTGAGTAATCCACGTACGAAGAACGGACCCCTCAAATTAAGCTTAGCTTTATTGTCATTCTGCTGGACATACAGTGGAACAAGATGCTACACAAATAAATATGAACACAGTGCTAGATGTTCAGTCTGGTTATCTATAAAACTAAGCTACCAGAGATTAAGACCTAATCACACAAAGAAAGATAATTATTCCTACACACAACTGCCACTTTTAGGTACACCCGCTTGTAATGGAAATATCTAATCATCAAGTCTCCTGACTGTAACTCAAAAGCATTTAGGCACATAGATGTCGTCAAAATAAGTTGCTGAATGGAGAAAAAAGGCAAGTTAAGTGACTTTGAACATAGCATGTTTGTTGCCAGAGAATTAAGAAACTGCTTATCTACTGGATTCATCTCCTAGGTTTATAGAGAATGATCAAAAACATAATAAATATCCAGTAAGTGGCAGTTCAAGGAGAACAACCAGACTGTTTCAAGTTGACAGAAAGGCAACAGTAACTCAAATAACCACTTATTCAACTGAGGTCTGCAGAAGAGCATCTGTAAACTCACAACACATCAAACCTTGAAGCAGATGAGTTACAGCAGCAGAAGTGCAAGACAGTGGCACCCTGTCAACTAACAACAGGAACCTGAGGCAACAACTCACATAAGCTCACTAAAATTTGACAATTCTGCATATGCCTGGTCTGATGAGTCTCAATTTCTGCTGAATAATTCAGATGACAGGGCCAGAATTTTATTGGAAAAAAAAAAAGAAATGAAATCATGGATCGATACTGCCTTGCTTCAGTGGTTCAGGCTGTTGCTGATTTGGTGGTTTTGAGGGAGATTTCAATAGCCTTTGGTATAAATGTCAAAGCCTACCTGAGATTTGTTGCTAAAAATGTCCATACCCATATGACCAATAAAATCTAGGCTCATCAAGTCAACATTATAGAACTAGTGGCAACAAAAGCTCTGGGCTCATTGAGACCAACACGTCAGGGCTGGATATGCACACAACAACACTAGAGTTCTGCTGGCCACAATGATGCTCACGATGGCCAATTGTGCCATGTCTTAAAGCTCAATCAATCCCAAACAGGTCTCTTAAACATGAGTTCACTATACTCAAATGACCTCCAGAATCACCTCCAGAGATTCAATTCAATTCAGGTGTAATTGTATTGCGCTTTTACGATGTAGATTGTTTCAAAGCAGCTTAACATGAACGTGAAGTCCCGATTTTAGAGTTGAAGTTGAGTTTAGTTCAGTTCAGTGTGGTTTAAATTTCATTGCTGAAAGTTCAAACACTGAAGAGGAAATCCATCCACAAGCAAGCCAAGGGAGGAAAAAAAAACTTTACCGATTGACGAAGTGAAGCGAAAAACAAAAACAAAAAACAAACTCTAGAGAAACTAGGCTCTATTGGGCACAAGCTTTTTCCACAGGATCAATGCGGGGACTCGTCTGTCACTGTGATCTTTCAGGAATCAGTCTCATGCTCTCCAGAGGTCAATCCAGTTGAGCACCTTTGGCATGTGGTGAAACAGGAGATTCCACCATAGATGTGGAGAAAATGTGTCATGCTATCATGCCAGAACAGACCAGCACATAGACCTTATTAAATCTATGCCCTGAAGGCTCATTCTATGCAGTTTTGAAGGTAAAAAAAAAGGTCCAATCCGATATTCTATCAATTGGTCCTACCTTGTTAGATTGTTCTACCATCAGTTCAAAAAAGTAGGTAGCACATCTAGATGATAAAATATGCTACCTATCAGATTGTGCAACAAGTGTAAATATTGATTGAAGCAGTGTGACGTGAGGCCTAACTTACCCAAACCTAACCTCGAGCTTAGAACCATTCAAATAATGTGTTGGTGGCATAATCTAACAGGTAGGATGACATGTTAGGACACTGGTACTAGCAAGGTATACCTAATATAAAGTGCCTGTTGAGTGTATATCAAGGTTTTAAAAATTCCTCAAAGTATCCTTGCTTAAATACCAAACCACAACTACACTGATAACAACAAAACTGTTTTGTACTTCTATCACCCAAGACTTGATTTCTTTCTTGTCAACATATATGGCAATAGTTATAACCTTCTATGAGAACTAAAGGTCATCTCCTGTTGTGCAGGTGATTGTGTATGATCAAGGACAGGTGACTGAAAACCCTTCATTCATGGGTAGGGTGGGCTTTGCAGGCATGCCCTGGAGTGCGGATATCATCTTGAATTACACACGGGTGTCTGACGCTGGAGTCTATCGCTGTGTGGTCAGCAACCCACCTGAGACTGGAGACCCTGGCATTGGAGAACTCAGCCTCACTGTTCTGGGTATCATTGATACATTACACAAACATGAATGCTAGGCACAAGGTTGATACATTCGAGTCAACATCACAACCATATTACAATAATTTTGATATAACACTAATTGGTGCCATGACCCTGATGAGTGAGTGAATAACAGAGACCAGCCCAGCTAGTAAATTCTATTCCCTTGGTCCCAGTAAGAACATTAGCTACTAATTTGAGAGGCTATTATCTTTAATGTTCTTGTTTACACAACTGCCTACCATACTGGAAACAGTTCAAATAATGCTTTGAGCAGAACCAGAGGGGTATGGGTGTTCCCTAAAAGTACTTTGGTTCAGATTGACTTGTTGTGTCTCTGAATGGCTGTGCCTCTTGAGTAATGTAATCGTTTGGCATGCATTATTCATATGGTGCTGCATATTAGAGATAAACAGTGTATATACTGATTTACACATAGATGTATATTATACATGATACAGAGATTTAGGTTATATTGTGTACGACTAAACAATATGTTTCTAAAGCTCTGGTTGATCAGCTTGATCTGCTTTGGAAAGTGTAGTTTTTTTTGTCTAGTTTCTACACTATTAGATTACCTTGTGTTCAAGGGTTTCATAATTCTCTGTTTGTGTGCAGCACCCCCATCTCTTCCTATGTGCCTATGGGAAGGGGATACTGATACTGGGGGCAATGTAAGGCTGTCCTGTGTGGTGGCCGAGGGCTTTCCCACTCCGCAAGTGATCTGGGAGAAGTTGGAACCAGACAAGATGACGTTGCCAGTGAATATGGATGGTAAAAAAAGCTCTATTCAGGGGTACAAATAAAATCTGGAATAAATTTTTCACACATGAATGTATTGCAGGTGACATGACAGGCTCTGTGCACATTGCCAATGTGTCCACGCAATCCTCTGGTCTCTACCGCTGCTCAGTGACCAACTCATTGGGAACCCAGCACTGCTACATAAACCTGTCTGTGTACACACGTAAGTCCTTCTCTACACCTTTATGATTGCTTTATAAATGTTTCTCATCCTTAATTCTAAATTATACTTATTATACAGTTTCGCTCCTAGGGAACATCTGTCCTGCAAAGTATACAGTAGTCAACATCTGAAGTGCATCAAAAACTTTTCTTAAAAATGTTTTAAGACAAGATTGGGTGTTGTTCAATAGTTTTAGACAATTTTTATAAACTTTTTTTTTTATCTACTTCAAATGTTGACTACTTTCTTTGGAAGAAATTTGGTTTGGTTTCTTTAGGGAGTTTGGTTAGCTTAACTTTACAGCAAAGAATTTGGCAGTCCTGGTTTAGGGGGACAATTTTTCTTCAGACAGGCTTTGGTTTGGTTTAATTAGGGAGTTGAAACTGTAACACAAAAGTTACAGGCTTGATTTACAATATTAGCACAAGTTGTAGGTCGGAGGAGTGAATGATCTGGGCTCTCTTACACCTTTTTTTTTTTTTATAACCCCTGGTTAGGACATGGATCCTAGTATGGGTGAACAAATTTGTCCGTCACTTCTCTCATCCCCATTCCTAATCTTAGTCTGGTGATGAGTGGTGCCTGGCATTCACTCCAAATAGTTAAATTTTAGTCTAATCAGATCAGAGAATTTTGTTTCTTATGGTCTGAAAGTCCTTCACATGCCTTTTGGAAAAAATCCAGACGGGAAGTTGCTTCCAAATGTGTGTAACCTTCCCCAGCCTTGTGCATCAAGACAATCCTGTCTCAGAGGTCTACAGACAATTCTTTTGTCTTTATTCTTGGTGGTTCGGGCTTTGACATGCACTGCCAACCCTGGGACATTATATAGACAGGTGTATGCCTTTTTAAATCATGTCCAATCAACTGAATTTACCACAGGTGAACTCCAATTAAGCTGCTGAAACATCTCAAGAATGATCAGTGGATATCAGTGAATACTTATGTACATGTGATTTTTCAGGTTTTTTATTTTGAATACATTTGCAACAATTTCAAAAACTCTTTTTTTCACATTGTCATTATGGTTTATTGTGTGTAGAATTTTGAGGAAATACATGAATTTAATCAATTTTTGGAATAAGGAAATAAAAAATAATAAAAAATGTGGAAAAAGTGAAGCGCTATGAATACTTTCTGGATGCACTGTACATACCTGCTGATTTTTATAACTGTTCATGCTTTCAGTACATATGTGACAAAAAAAGAAAAAGCATTCCACATTGATTGGTAAACACTTATGTGAGGGTATTATGGGAGGTGTGAAGGATAAAAATTTTCTACAAATGGAATAAAAAAATACTTGATTTTAACTTACGTTTTAAGAAGAAACTCAAGTTCAGCTCTTAACTCAGCATGTCATCAAATTGCTCCATCTTGTAAGAACATCATTGTTTTCTCCCACTGTTCGGATCATGTTTTGGCAAATCTGCAATTTTTGGCTTGAGCTGTTTGTTTTGGCTCAGCCTGCCTCGTACACTATCCATGCCACAAACTCACACTATTGGCTGAGGAGGAATGTAAAAGTTGTCATTGAACAGAAAAATTAATAAAGAGGACATTTACAGACAATACAATCTGACATGCTTCACACTTTAAGTCTGAAGGCATCACTTCTTATTAATTGTAACTGTATAGATAAGACTCACCAGTCCTCCAAACTTCTTTTGTGCTCTGTAGAGGTAAAAGCGATAGCAGGGGTGTCCAAACTCGGTCCTGGAGAGTTTAGCGCCAACCCTAATCAAAAACACCTGAACCAGCTAATCAAGCTCTTATTTACATATACTAGAAACTTCCTGGCAGGTGTGTTGAAGCAAGTTGGAGCTAAACTTAGCAGGACACCGGCCCTCCAGGACCGAGTTTGGACACCCCTGCCATATAGGTTTGGAAAAGCATAAGGGTTGATAAAGGATGTCACATTTTTTTGGTTTTGTGTTTGTGATCTCTTAGCTCCAGATAATTCACCAGGCATCCTGCAGGGGGTGCTGTTGAGCCTATCGATGGCCCTGCTCCTGCTGGCTCTGATGGTGCTGGTGCTGTGGCTCCACCGTTCGGCGCAGGAGAGCAAGTGGAGGAACAGCCACGAGGAAGATGACTGCTATAATGAGATCAAATACACACCCTCTCTCATTAAACGCTCTTTTGTCTAAGACGAGTACAGAAAGTGACATCTGGATGAGCTCTACACTAATATCAACGTAAAGACAAGTTTGTGTCACAAGAGCAACGGAAAGAACATCATTTGTGTTTTACCTCATACACCCACTTCTGGGTCAGTTGTACTGCTTAATTACATTACGGTTGCCCCGAAGCCTATGTGACTGCTGTAAACAAATCTATTTTTCTCCTGTGGGAATCAACAGCATGTCACAGATGCGAATACATCCTGGAATACACAGTGGAATTTGTACATAACCCAGAATAATCTTGTAAAAGCTGGATTTTAATGTTTCTAAAGCACTTTTTAGTACAAGCTGTACACAATTTCAAAAGACAACCACCATTAATCTATACAGGTTTTGATCATCCAGTAGATGTGTTTATGCTCTGTAAAGGGACGTATAGTGGATATTATATTTTCATTAGCCACAAATAATTTTTGTATTATATGATATACTACAATAAAATCTGGATCACATGGCATTTTAGTTTACTTGAGAACAATGTTAAGGAAGTTACTTTAAAAAAGTACTTGCATTAAATTGGAAAACAAAAAACAAAAATAGACTATCACTTAGGCCTACTGTTTTTTTTAAAGACCCTTGACAAGTTGTGATGCCCTTTTTTAGATTATATGCTGGCTTTTTTGAGCAATAATATATGAGTAATAATGAACAATAGTATATGAATGCATATTTATTATTAATATTCTTTTTTTTCTTATTTTAATTCTTTTATATTATTATTAATTTATTATTCATGCTTTAGTTTTTTTTTTTAAATAGGAAGTTATAGGCTGTTGAGGAAGGGAAGTTTTTATTTGAGGGAAGTGTCAATAACAACATGGAAGGATAATTAATAAATGAATGTTGTAATTGATGTTTCATAAAAAAAAATATTAAATTAAATCTGAAAAGAAATACATTAATAATAATAAAAAACACTGTGCCTGATAATCACATTTGAAAAGTAAAGTACTACATAAAAATTACTAAATACTTTGTCTGAAAAGTGACCTACTCACTCAATAAATAATTTAATTATTTGACAGCACTACTAAAAAAGTATAACCTTAACGCATAGACACTAGAAATGAAACTTTTAATTCTTTAAAGTTGACCAAACAGGAGCTTTTTGCATAATCAGAAATGTAACATTTACAGAATAATAAATGTGTAACAAGACAAAATATTTTATAAATACCATATATGGATAAATTACTCAATTCATTGTTTCTTAAGCATGAGCAATTATATTGAGAAATTTAGTCTATTTTAGCTGAAAAAATATTTGTATAACAAAAAAACAAAATTGCTCTGCTTTTCTAAATCGATTAAGAGCTGTCAAAATTATGAACAGTATTTAAGGAAAGTGCATAGTTAAAGTTACTTTAAATAAATTACTTGCCGTCATTTACAGCAGGCTAGTGCAGAAACTCTGTTATAAATACTGGAGTAAAATTAATTTCCATATTTTAAAGAAATGGTGCGGGAAAATAATTTAATCCTGTGCTTCTTGAAATCAGATTTTAAACGCAACAATTTTGTATGGGATTACAATTAACCGGAAGCCCTAGGGCTGGCTGACTTAAACTAAAAGTCTGTACTGTGTGCACAGACCCTATTACCTTACAAGCAGGGTTCATAACGGACATGGAATTAAAAAAAAAGTGGTGGTGGGGGGGGGGGGGATGGGGGGGGGGGTTAATAAATTGAAACTATTGCGTGTTATAATATGCTGTAATTAATTTAACTGTTTTTTATGATTTACCACATTTATACAGTTGAGGTCAAAATTATTAGCCCCTATTGGTTTTATTTTCCTTTTTTAAATATTTCCCAAATGATGTTTAACAGAGCAAGGAAATTTTCACAGTATGTCTGATAATATTTTTTTCTTCTGGAGAAAGCCTTATTTGTTTTATTTCGGCTAGAATAAAAGCAGATTAACATTTTTAGGAACCATTTTAAGAGCAAAATTATTAGCCCCTTTAAGCTTTTTTTTTATCGATAGTATACAGAACAAACCATCACTATACAATTACTTGCCTGAGCTATAGAAGCGTTTTAAAAAATATCTAGTAAAATAATATTTACTGTCATCTTGGCAAAGATAAATTAAGTCAGTTATTAGACATGGGTTATTAAAACCTGTGTAGAAATGCGTTGAATAAAATCTTTCCTTTAAGCAGAATCTGAGGGAAAAATAAACAGAGGGGCTAATAATTCTGCCTTCAATTGTATGTAGACATTACATGAAACACTAGGTCATGAAAATTGACTTGAAAGTCTTGGAAAAGTCCTGGAATTTTTGTAGTAAAAATGTGTATGAACCCTGTACAAGTTAAAAGTCATATAAGGGGCTGACTGCTAAAAGTACTCACTTGTAATGCTAACTGAATGAAGATAAATCTTGACAAAGCCAAGTAGTACTAGTGGGGAATAAAAAAAAAAAAGATTAAACGATAACAAAATGACTTTTGCAAACAATGACACAAAAAAGCTTTAATTTAAATAGGAGGGGAAAAAGAAATCACATAAAAAACTGTACATAACTTTGAATATTGAATAACAGTTTAAATAAAAACAATCCCCCATATAACTAAAATAAAAAAGAAAAGAAAAACAAAAACAATACAGGATGGTGTACTATTTTACAATAGTTGTGCAAAAGCAGTATTAACTGATTCATTCCCCAGACTTCATGATTCTATATCGAGGGAGAGCGTCAGATCCCTCCGCGAGCACAGATATACACCGAAGCGTGACTCCCCCTAAGACTCAAAGTAGTGTCCTCCATTGAAAAATAATCAGAAATCCAATAATAATAAAATAGATTTATATATATTTTTAAATATATTTATATACAAAACATGCTGTACATATATGGCAGAGATTAGTTAGATCCCTTTTAAATCACTGACACCCAAAACTATCCAGTAACTTGTGCTTTCTCCCAGTAAAGAGAAGTACTCCCTGTTGCTTTGGAAAAGTCACCTTAAAGATTGGAGAAATGGTCCTGATGGGAAGAGGGAAAGAGCTTGATTGGCCTTGAACCAAAGCTACTGAAGTCCCTTGCAAATGACAAATCAATGAGCCCAGGTTGTTTAGCAGACTACACCAGAGATTTGAGCGGCATGATTGGCAGAGTGACTTGAAGTTTAGTGTTCAGACAACTTGTGATATGGTCTGTGATGGTGGAGAGAATATATATTTGTGTTAGAACTCTAAATCTAAATGTGGTTTAAGTGAGCACAAGTGAGCTTGATTAATTGGATGTGAACTGCCTCTACTGGCACTAAACAAAAGTTAGAGACTGTAATCTCATTACAAATTTGATGTCGATCAGGCAGGATCACCCATCTTATGAAAGCTTGTTTCCGCCACGAGAAAAAAAAAATGAACCAAAAAAAAAACAAAACAAAAAAAAACCTCATAATTCTTGCATTGGGGAGGTTATATCTTGTAATTCTAAAAAAAGTAGTATGAACTGAGAAATTAAGAAAGCCTAAAGCCCTGCAATTGTGAGATGAAGTTGCAAATCTAAGAAAAGTCAGAACTGCAAGACAAATTGTGAGAAATGTAATAATCATAACTGCAAGACAAAAAGCCGCAGGGGGGAAATGTGCAATTATGAAGAGAAGAAGAAAAAAAAAAAAAAAAAAAGCTTCTCCATTGTAAGAAAAGAAAATTCAAAATTGCATGACAAACTCAGAATTCTGATAAAAAATTTACAGAATTAAAAAAAATATTAAATAGCAATTTACGTTATAAATATCATGTTTTTCTGACTTTTTGCCAGAATTGTAAGAAAACCTATTAACTTGCTATTGTAAGAAACATAAAGAAAATAGTCTGAAATGCAAATAAACTTAACACACACAAAGAAGTCTATAACCTTACAACTGTAAAGATTAGCTGCAAACTGTGACAACTAAAAAAGTCAGTATTGCAAGGTGGAAACTGAACTGTAAAAAGCCAGAATTGCCAGAAAAGCCTATAACCTTGCAACTAAGTTGCAATTCTGACCAAAAATATTTATTAAATTCATACTGGAAACATGTAAACTCAGAACTTTGAAAAACAAAGCCAGAATTGCACCTTTCAACTGTAAGAACCAAAGTAGCAATTCTGAAGAAAAAAAAAAAAAGAAAGTCTAACTTGCCGAGAAATATATTAAGAACTGCATGAATGCTAACTGCTACTGTGAGAAATAGCTGCAATTCTGAAAATAAAATAAAGGCAAAAATGCAAGATAGAAGTTCCAAAATGTCCAATATATAGCCAGAATTGCAATCTAAGAGTTATTCGTCCATCTCACAGTTTTGAGAAATAAAAAAGTCAGAATAATAAGCTGTGTTTTTATTCACATGGCGGAAACAGCCTTCCGTTGTTCTGATTGTGTGTCAGCATTGTAAATGATTATAGTTGGACCGCTCAGTAGAAAAAAACCTTCAATTATCATTCAGCATGAAATCTCCAAGAAACCAGTGTAAAATCTCCAGCAAAAATCCTTTTCTTCAACAAGGTGCCATTTACTCATGGCGGCCTTTACATTGACTCTCAAGCCATATCGTTAAACCCAAAGCCTCTTCTGGAGCACAGCTCAGCCACGTCAATCATTTTAAGCTAGGAATCTGTATGGTGAAGAAGCACTGAATGACTTTCTGAATCAGAAAAGCACTTCAGCTGACGGGATATTTCAAGCTTCTTAACACTGACACACGACGATGTCAGTGGTGTATTGTTTGACTGTGAGTGCTTGATATGTTTGTTATCGTAGAGGCAGTAAGTGGCCCTGCTTTCCACAGCAGGAGGTCTGAGCTTTTGTCCGCCCAACAGCAGATATATAATGACATCGAAACTTCCAGTTGAATAACATACAGATAGGGAATCAGCTAGTCACAATCAGGAGGATTCAAGAATGGGGGCAAAGTTTACAGTTCGCTCATGTCCAGCTTTTCAACAAACAACAAAAAAAAACAGCCACTTCATCCATTTTGAGATCAGCAAATCAATACATCTTCATCTTAAGAAATGGTATATCTATGTTTTTCCCCCCCATCAAATTCTTCCAACTAAAACGCTGGAGTTTAGAAGTCAAAGCAGTAGTTTGGTTAGTTCTATTAGTAGTGGAGGGGTGGTGCAGTAGCAGTAGTATTGCAGTAGAGGGAGACAAACTGCAGGTGCTTGCAGCAGCAGGAAAAGGCCTGAAAGGGGAAACCAAGAAGCTCAAATCACCTCCAGCCCACGATGTCACAATCAGCACCCATCCAATAGGGAGCAATTTAGAATGTAGTCTGATTTAATGTGGGATGTATGAAGAGAAACAAAGAGAAAATAAAAATAGAGACTACTTGAGTTCTCTTTCCCCAAGCAGTCCTACACTTTCAAAACTTCCGTCCTCACCTGAGCCGGCTGTAAACTATGTATGGAGCACCAGGTGTGCATGTGAGCGAGTACATGTATGTTTATTCGAATCGT